CTAGAATAGATTTTGCAGATAGCCTGGAGGTGGTGGGAGGGCTCTGCTGAGAGGTGAGAGGGACAGCTGGAGCTGAGGGGCACTTGGGATGCTATGTAGAGACCAAGTGCAGTGAAAACTCTCTGGAATCTCTGAGTGTGACCCTGGTAAAGCCTCCTAGTAGCTGGGGATATGGAGCCCAAACTGGCCATCGTCTATAACCAGGCAAGGCTTCCATCAGTGAAACGGGGACATCAACCCAACCACAAGCCTTCAATTTACAGTCTGTCCTGCCTGCAAGATGTGTTGGGGTAATTGCCTTATAGGAGTGGCCAACCAATGGCTGGTCCAACTTGAGGCCAAGAGGAGGAGTCCACTACCAACACTACCTTGATGGCCAGAAACCAGAGGCAGGGCAGTCCAGAGACCAAGGCTAGAACCAAACACAAAGGGAAAAAAGTCAATGAAATGGTTCCTAATGATATTCTTTCTGTTATACTCTTAAATTAGAGCCTAGTCTAATGGTCATCAGGGAGGCATATCCAGCAACTGATGGGAACAGACACAGAGGCTTCCAAACAGTAGATGGAGCCAGGGGAATCCTGAAGAAGGGAGGGAAGGATTGAAGGACCCAGAGAGGTCAGGGACACCTCAAGAACACATACAGCTCATAGAATCAACCAAGCAGGGTCCACAGGGCCTCAGAGAGACTGAAGGGGCAAATGTAGAGCCTGCATGGGTCTGAGGATATGTTATGGCTATGTGGCTCGGTGTTCTTGTGGGACTCCTAACAGTGGGATCACAATTTTCTTGGACTCTTTCACCTGCACTTGGTGTCCTTTTCTTCCTACTGGGTTGACTTGTCCAGCCTTGATATGAGGGTTTGTGCCTAATCTTATTATAATCTGGTATGCCATGTTTGGTTAATATCCCTGGGAGACCTGCTTTTTTTTTTTTTTTTAAGGAATGTGGAGGAGGAGTGAGGAAGGTAGGGGAAGGATGTGGGAAGAGTGGGGGGAAGTGGAAACTTCAGTCAGGATGTACGAGAAAAGAATAAAATAAAGGAATAAAAAACAAGAGAAAACACCCAAGTCCCTAAGAGTCCAGGCAAGGGAAAGCCAGCAGTTGCTGGTGAAGTCCTGGTTTTGTTTTCACAGACTTTGCTCAGCTCCGCAGGAGGGCTGAAGACAAGCCTGGGGAGAGGGAGACTGGCCACCACCCCTGCTCTGGAGAGGAAGGAGCTGGACACCTGAAGGAGTCTGAAGGCCCCTGGTTCCTCCACCAATGATGGAGGATCGGGGTCTGAGCAGCCTCACAGAGCACATGCTCCAGAAGCAAGGCTCCACGGGAGCAAACACAGGGTACAGAGGCGCAGCAAGGAGGAAAGGGGATGCTCTCTGAAAGCCTCATTTGACAAGTGACTGAACTGACCCCTCTCTGAGACACCCTAAATGCAGATGAGCTTTTTTGTCTTCCCCCTCCCTGAGCCCTCATGCCGAGCCAGATATTAAACATGAGAATGTTATATGAAGTTGCCTTAAGGTTTGCATACAACTCCAAAAATATTTGAGGTTGTTTTAATGCTTGTGTATGACTCTTCTTATAAACATTTGAGCAAAATTGGTAACGGAGAGAGATGCCCTATATTTAAGCTACCTTGGCAGGGACCTGGTTAAAAGGTCACACTGTGTGTGTGTGCGTGCACGTGCTATGTACCTGTGTGTGCTAGTGTGTGCCTGCGTGGTCTGCTCTCTCACTCCCTACCTTATCTCCTTGACACAGAGTCTTTCATTAACCTGGAGCTTGGGTGGCAGTCAGCAAGACCCAGCTATTCCTTCTCTCCCACTATATTCTAAGGCAGCGGTTCTCAGCCTTCTTAATGCTGCGGCCCTTTCATACAGTTCCTCATGTTGTGGTGCCCCCCCCCAGAACATTATTTTCACTGCTACCTCATGACTGCGGTTTTGCCAGTGTTAGCAATCATAATGTAAACATCTGACATGCAGGGCATCTGATACCAACCCCAGGAAAGGGTTGTTTGGCGCCGCCCACAGGTTAAGGACAGCCGCTCTGGGGTTACAGGTAGGCAGTCGCACCTGGATTTTCACCTAGGTAACGGGAAGTCCAACTCAGGTCATCGTGCTTGCGTGTTGAGCCATGTCCTCGGCCCCAGAGGTTTGCACCCTGAAGTGTTCCTGCTTCCTGCCAAGGGGAACTGTGTGCTCAGTAGTCACCATGGTGGACAGTCCCCTTGTGTCTGCCCGCAGGAGTATTCCAGAGATTTAACTGAGGATGCTAGACCCTCCCCAAACACAGAGAGCACCACCTCATCTGGCTGGATAAGACGGGAGGAAGCAGGCTGAGTGCCAGCACTCACCTCGCTCTGCTTCCTGACTGTGGACGCCATGTGACCAGCCGCCTGGAGCGAGTGCCGCCGGCCACTGTGTCTCCCCATCAGGATGAGCCTACTATACCCTGAAACTGAGAGCCAAAACAACCCTGGCTTAGTGCATCTGTGTCGTCATAGCAACAAGGAAAGTAACAAATACAAGAGCTCAGGGTGGAGCCATGTCTGACAACATGTCTAGATCCAAAACTCTACTCAGAGAGAGTAATAAATAATAACAGAAAGTACATCGGAGACCTATTTGCAGGACATACTAAATTCATTGTTTAAAAAAGATTGATTTGATTTGACTTATGTGTATCTGCTTGGGGCTGTGTGCATATGAGTGCTGGGCTTGCAGAGGCCAGAGAGGATGTCAGACTCCCTGGTGATGGAGTTACAGCTGGGGGCTCACCGGATGGGGTTGCTAGCAACTGAACTCAGGTCCTTTGCAAAAGCCGCAACTGCTCCTATGAGGCATCTTTCGATCCCCCAAATTCAATTTGGCTTTAAAATTTTTTTAAATAATTTGTTTAATTTTTATTTTATATGCATTAATATGAAGGTGTTCTATCCCTTGGAATTGGCGTTACAGACAGTTGTGAGCTGCTTTAAAATTTTTAACCAAGTGAAATCGCTTCGTGGACCATATTTACCTGCTACCTCGGACATACTCTACGTGCAGTAGCCTTGCTTTTATAAAGGTCCCAGGAGATGTTTGGTTTCAGTTTTGCTTCTGGGAACTGAACCTAGCGCCTCTCTACCTCCGGGCGTCATCCCCAACGCCAGGCCACTCTTACAGCAAAGCATTTGCAAACCTGCTCATAAAAATAGCTACACATTTCTCCTGGATGTAGGAGCCGCTAATCGCACCATTGGTTTGTGTACAGATGGCAAGCCTTGGTGTCTCTGTCTTGTGAAGTCCAGGCTGGTCAGGTGTCAGGGAGGCCACTGCAAATTGCTCTCCTGACCTCACTCCAGGTGCGTGTGGGTTCTTTAATCCTCACTGTCCTGAAAGAGGTGCACCTGGATTTTGAAAAATACTTGTAAGCATTATTTCATAGTTTCGTGTTTTGCCTGAATGTGTGTCTGTACACTATGAACATGCCTGGTACTCACAGAGGTCAGATTCCCCGTAACTATATTTATAGGTGGTTGTGAGCCACCCTATGGATGTTGGGACTCGAACCTAGGCCCTCTGGAAAAGCAAGCAGTGCTCTTAACTGCTGGGCCGTCTCTCCAGCTCTGAGAAAATACTTTGACTACTTGCCTCTTTGTCCTAGTCGCTCACTTCCCAGAAACTGTGAGCCACTCGTCGGCTGTAGAGAAACAGCAGACATCTCCAGGACCTCCTCTTTTTTCCCTCACTCCAGAGCTTTTATCAAGAGATCTAACAAGAGAGTAATGATGGTGGGGAGGGGGATGTGCTCAAGCCCTTAATCCCTGCTCTTGAGAGGCAGAGGCAGCCAGATCTCTGTGAGCTCAGTCTGAAGCCAGGCTGGATTACATAGCAAGTTCCAGGCCAAACAGGCCTCCACAATGAGACTCTATCTTAATAAAATAAGATAAAATACAATAGATAGAAATTGGAACCCAGACTTAGTCAAGCCTCCAAAAGAGGGGTCATGAGATAGTGGATATAGCTCAAAGACAGGAGCAAATGTCCAGTGTGCTCGAGACTCTGGAATCTATTACTTGCTTAGAAGGGAGAGGGGCTTCCATTCTGGGCCATTAGGTCTCTCTTGGCCTAAGCACCGGGCCACAATTAATGGTGTCCTTTTACCAGGATGCTGCCATCGCAGAAACCAGGATTCCCGAGTGTCTCTTGCCTTGGAGTCCTACAGCAGAGCGGACATCCACCTGGGTCAGTGGGTCTGTTCTTTGGTACCCTGATGGGGCTAATGTGGTAAATGATGCCTGAGATCTTCAACGAGGAGCTTCGTGGACATGAACTCAAGTCTTATCATCTCCCTGGTTTCTGGACATTACGGCAGCTGAGACGGGATTCATCTTAAAGCTAACTGTGAAAGTGTGTCCAGGCTTTAGAGCATAGTAGCATTTAAATAGTCTCTTTATTCCCCCAATATTTATTCACCTGAATGTCTCAGCACTACCCCAATACAACAGTGGTTTTGAAACTTAGGTTGCTCCAGAGTCATTGAGAGATGCAGAACCTGATTCAAGCGTTAGCGCCTGGCCTGACAATGTGGTGTTAGAACAGCTACCGCACAGGGAAGAGCCAAGCTCCCGAGCCTCTAGGGCTCACCCTAACCTGAAGTTGGCTATGCCAGAGGAACTAACCGTCCAGATAGTGCTTTCTCTCACCTCGGCGGCGGGTCTGTCAGGGAGACAAACCTGGGAGTTGTTGACTTGTGCCTGGCTCTGCTAGAGCAGCCTAATGCCAGAAGCCAGCTGAGCAGCGTCTCTGCGTCGGCGGGGAGGAGGGAGCTACCAGACAGGGATGCGGGGAGGGACCCGGGCTGGGATTTACCCCGGGACAGGCCTGTGAGCGCGGGGAGCCGTCCCCGGGAGCACTCAGGGCGGTGCCCGCGGTGCGGGGTGGGGCGGACCACGACCCCCGTCCCTCCCCGGGCCGAGTCGCCGCCGCGCGCGCCGCCCACGCGCGACCGTCGCTCTCGCGGGCTGCTGGCTGGCCCGGCCTCACGGCGCGGGGACCCTGCCAGCCATGGCCCAGCCTGGCGACCAGGCTCTGCCCGGGCCCGAGACCAGAGTGCAGATCCGTGTCGCCATCCAGGAGGCCGAGGACGTGGAGGATCTGGAGGAGGACGACGAGGGGACCTCGGCGCGGCCAGCGGGGGACCCGGCCCGGTACCTCAGTCCCGGCTGGGGCAGCGCCAGTGAGGAGGAGCCGAGCCGCGGGCACAGGTAGGCGCGGTGGCGTGGGCCTGGCCGGGGTTCCCGGGACTCTGGTGCGCAACAACTCGACAGGGCAGAGGGTTTGACTTAGCCCCGGCGCGGAGGCTGCAGACTGAGTCAGAACCCGCTTCTGGGGGCAGTCTTCCCCCAGCCCTCAGCAGGGCTTGATTCCCGATGGAAAAGGCATCCAAGGCTGGGGGCGGGGATCTGAAGGACCTAGTCTTTGGGGTGAAGGGAGGTCTTCACGGGCCATCCTCGCCATCCTGCTTCTGAAGGAGACGCCCCCTTTCATAGATGCACCCCACCAGACGCTTGCCCCAGCCAGGAGTCCCCTGAGACCCGGCCTCCTCCTCCGGATGGCGGTGGTCCTAAGAATCTTCCCCACCATCATCAATCGCTCTGCTCACCAGTCCAGAGGCTTCACTTGGCCTCTGGGTGGGCGCAGGCCGGGCACAGCTGGCACATGCTGATGAGGACATCCAGGAAGGGATGCCCCGTAGAGAGAGCTCTCTCTTCCCCTCAGCTGAGGTGGCTGAGGGCTTTGCTGCTTTACCTCCCTCAGGCAGGGGCTTTCTGTTTCTCCTGCCTCTGTGTCTGGGGATGGCTCCCTCACTGCTCAGTGATGGGTGCCTTGGAGCTGGTGTAGCGCCCGTCTGACCTTGCCCCTGGGCCCTGAGCTTCCTTCTGAGCCAGACGCCCATCACTAATGTGCGCGCCCTTCAAGCCGTGATTTCCTTATTGAGATTAGAGAGATATCCCATGTGGAGCTGAAGAGAAAACGGCGATGACACTAGCAAATTCTAGGCCTGTCTTTGGTAAGAGCTGCCCTTTGAGGTGCTGAACGCCGGCTCTCAGCTCTCAAGACTTACCCTCTCTGTTGCTGAGACCCGGTCCAGCAGGGGGGCACACAGGGGCCGCAGCCAGGGGCTGCCTCACCCCAGTGAAAGAGACTGGATCCCGCTCAGAGAGGTCTGGACCCCCGAATTTCAGGCCAGAGCAGCAGAGGCAGCCATTGTAGGAGAAAAGACCAGTCTCACAGACTAGGACAGGAACGGCAGTGTCCTGGCATCGTATGTGCAAAAAGCTCTCTCTATGCCCAGCATCAACATGGTGAGCGTATGAAAACAGCCCCGGAGCCAGAGGTCATGCGACAGGCTTGCAAGCTGCTTACCTTGTGGCTCTGTCGGCCTGCGACTACAACACAAACCCGCTCCGCCCTGAGTAGCCAAGGTGAAGGCCCACACAGTTCTTGGTCCGAGAAAGGCTCTCTGTGGAGTCGTAGGAGAAGCTGATCCTCAGGGCCTTTTGCCTTGCCTCTCCCTGGTCGCTCCAGGGCCACCCTTGTCACGCGCTGCTCTAAAGGCTCAAGGATCACGGAGCTTTCAGCCTGAAACACTTTGTTGCCTAGTGGCATAGAGTTGACCCCTGAAAATCTCTGTGACTCCTCAGACTAGTAGAGTTGGCAGAGCCTGCTGGGTAGACACCGGTGGTGGGGTGGGGGGCTGAGGACGATCGGCCAGGGACAGGATCCTGCTGACCCTGTTTGGGCCCAGCCTGGTAAGGCAGCAGCTATCTCTTACGAATGTTCTCAGCTCCCGGTGCTTAAAGGCTCTCCAGTTCCTAAATCTGCTTGCGATGTAACGCCGCCTGCTTCATCCTCTCAGCCCACGGATGCCTTCTGTCTTAGCTCATGCTCCTGGAGCACTGTCCCACTGAGCATGGTGGTGCGCGCGTGTGTGCGCGTGAGTGCGTGTGCGTGCGTGTGTGTGTGTGTGTGTGTGTGTGCATGAGTGTGTGTGCATGGGTGTGTGGCATGTGTGTGTGTGTGTGCACGCGCGCGTGCGCGTGCCTCTGCCCTCCCACAGTTACATTCTCTATTGGCTCTCTAGTCAGCCTGGCAAACTTCCTGTCTTCCCCACCTTCCCCCTGCCCTTCCCGTAGTGAGCCAGGTTGGTCCCTCTCCTCTGTGCATCTTAGCTCTGACACTTTTCTCAGTCCTAAATCCGCAGTCCACCTCCCTTGAAAGTCTCTGAGCCCTGAGCCGCAGCTCCCTTGTGCAGCACCAAGGCGTACCAGGCATCTTGTAAATGTGTGTGGGCTGTGCACACTCGCTCCTCTGTGAGACAGTGAGACCCTTGGAGGCAGGGGCTCTGTCTTAGCCTTTTCCACATCCATGGTTCCTAGGCCAATACCTGGCTTGTAACCTGGGGACAAATAAGTGAAGTTTTGCTGTTGTTATTTGATTGTACTTATGAAATGAATATGATGTGTGGTTTCCCCCATACCATGTGAAAGTGTGTGGTATGTAGTCACACCTGAAATACTTCTCGTAACTCTTAACAAGGATGTTCCCTAGGAAGCTATTGGCACTACCGTTGCCAGCTTGGAAAACGAGCACAAAGTGGCTAATCTAACCTCCCAGATGATCGGAACAGTCAAGTTCCACGTTTAACGTCCCACGGTGGTCTGCAGCTGCCTTTCATCCTCACACCAGCGGGCAGGCAGTTCAGGCAGGGTCTGCCGAGAGGGCTGCTTCAGAAAAATCTTTAAATGGAGAGTTCAGCTTCTCTAAACCGATGAAGCTGTAAAGACAGCTGCTGAGCCAGACCCCGGTGTGTGTGGGAGGCCGGCACGCAGGTGCCCATGGAGACCATAAGGGGGCCTCAGGACATGTGGCATGTCCTGAACAATTTAGCAACAATGAAAGGCTTCTGAACAAACGATGACCAAAACTTAACCCAAAATTAAGCGTGTGGTGAATGAGAGAGGCTGCGGCTTCACCGCAGCCTCAGTTCTGAGCACAGTGCACACGTGCCGTCACGTGTGCCGACATAAACATGCCGTGCCCGCAAAGGCTGCCGGAGCACTTCAGCTCAGGTACCAGGCTATGGGACGGCAGGGGTTGCTCTGTTTTCTGTTCTCATAGAAACATAGTGGATTCCTTATGAAAAACATGGACTTTCTATATTTTCTAGTCATTCCTTCGTGTGTATGTATATAGAATCAATTTATATTTTAACTGGTTAGTTGTAAGATCTTACTTCTTTTTACTTTTAATAAAAGTAAGAGTCCAGAGAAAAGTGCCCACCCCTGATGCTAGAGTTATAGCTGATTGTGAGCTGGCCAAAATGGGTGAGGGAGTCAAACTCAGGTCCTCTGGGAGAGCAGCAAACACTCCTAACCTGTAAGCCATCTTTCCAGCTCCTCATTGACTGGTTGAGGTTTAAAAATTGCTCTCTGGGTTACTGGCTTGACCTTGACAAGGATCATCTTAAATGAGTTTTCTCTTGGCATTGACACAGAACTTCCAGTCAATTATGAAATGGCTCTAGACATTTTCCTGCCACTTTGCATTATATGTTTATGCAAAGCAGTGTTGTCAGCATTGGTAATAGAGAACTGTTAATCAAAATATTAGTCATCTCCAAAACACCGTGGAGGATGTCCTTCACCCTGCAGTACCGAGCCTTAGCCAAGGCTTTGCTCCTCACGGAAGAGCCATCATGTGGATCTCAGTGTTGTGCCAATTTGTTTTGTCTTTAATATGCGATAAAATTAGGGAGTTGGAGAAACTGCTCAGCAGTTAAGAGTGCTGGCTGCTCTTTCAAAAGTCTTGGGTTTGATTCCCAGCACCCACATGGCAGCTCACAACTGTCTGTAAGTCTTGTTCCGGGGATCCCCTGATTTCAAAAGTACTGCATGCAGGTGGCGCCCAGACATACATGCAGGCAGAACACCCATGTCCACAGAGTAAAATTAAAAATTATTACCAGGGAATGTATTTTAAAGTAAATCTCTTTATGATTCATCATCAATAAATATTAGTTTATATGCCTGTATATCTGAGGTCATATAACAATTCTGAGGCAAAAATGAGTTGTTGGGGAAAACTTCAAGAAGCTCTGATCTTTTATTGTAGAGAATTGTTTTAGCTATTCTGGGTTTTTTGTTTGTTTGTTTTTCCATATGAAGAAAAAACAAGGTCTGTAAAGAATTCTTTCCAGGTCTGTGAAGAATTGTGTTGGTATTTTGATGGGAATTGCATTGAATGTGTGGAATGCTTTTGACAGGTTGGCCATTTTCACTATGTTAATCCTACCAATCCGTGAGCATGAAAGATCTCTCCATCTTTTGATATCTTCTTCAATTTCTTTCTTCAGAGACTTTAAGTTTTTTTTTTTTTTCATACAAGTCTTTTACTTGCTTGGATAGAGTTACACCAAGATACTTTATGTTTTTTTTGTGGCTATTGTGAAGGGTGTTGTTTCCTTAATTTCCTTTTCAGCCCATTTGTCTTTTGTATACAGGAGGGCTGCTGGTAATTTTTTGAGTTAATTTTGTATCTAGCCACTTTGCTGAGGGTATTTGTCAGCTCTAGGAGTTCCCTGGTAGAATTTTTGGGGTCAGTCATGTGTACTATCATATCATCTGCAAATAATGATACTTTGACTTCTCCTTTTCCAATTTGTATCTCCTTGATCTCCTTTAGTTGCCTTATTGCTCTAGCAAGAACTTCAAGTACTATATTGAGGAGATACAGAGAGAGTGGGCAGCCTTGCCTTGTCCCTGAGTTCAGTGGGATTGATTTAAGTTTCTCTCTGTTTAGTTTGATGTTGGCTATAGGCTTGCTTTATATTCCCTTTACTGTGTTTAGGTATGTGCCTTGTATCCCTGATCTCTCTAAGACTTTAAACATGAATGGGTGTTGGATTTTATCAAATGCTTTTTCAGCATCTAAGGAGACGATCATGTGGGCTTTTTTGCTTTCAGTTTGTTTATATGGTGGATCACATTGATGGATTCTCATACACACAAGCGCGCGCGCACACACACACACACACACACACATGCAGGTTCCCTTGGATGCCAAAGGAAGGCATCATATCCCCCTGGAGCTGGAGGTGGTTGTGAGCTGTTACAGGTGGTTGTGAGCTGTCTGACGTGAGTGCTGGGAACCGAACACTCTGCAAGAGAAGTACATGCCTCTCCAGACCCAATCCTTTGGTTTT